TATATACACACACACACACACACACACACGTACTGTATATATACACACACACACACACACACATGTACTGTATATATATGCACACGCACACGCGCACACACACACACACACACACGTACTGTATATACAGTATACACACACACACATGTACTGTATACACACACACACACACTGTATATATACACACACACGCACTCACACACACACATGTACTGTATATACACACACATGTACTGTATATATATGCACACGCACACGCGCACACACACACACACACACACACACACAAACATGTACTGTATATACACACACACATGTATTGTATATATACACACACACACACTCACACACACGTACTGTATATATACACATACACACACACACACACACACTGTAACGAGGGAGGAGACAATGGAGATCGTGACAGCCCCGCGCCGGCTTCCAGACGCTCCTTAACAGGAACAGACCAAAGTCCAGGAGGGAGGTGGAGCAGAGGCAGTGCAGGGGGAGGGATGGAGGGCCAGGTCCATGAGGAAGGGGAAGAACAAAGCTGGAAGCCAGGGCAGAGCCGGCCGAGCCCACCAGGGCGGAGCAGACGGAGTAGAAAACCAGGGCTGAAAACAGACAGTGCCGCTACCTCTGGAGGTTCTGCAGGAGTAGCAACAGGAGCTTCAACAGAGAGGCAGTGCAGGGGGAGGGATGGAGGGCCAGGTCCATGAGGAAGGGGAAGAACAAAGCTGGAAGCCAGGGCAGAGCCGGCCGAGCCCACCAGGGCGGAGCAGACGGAGTAGAAAACCAGGGCTGAAAACAGACAGTGCCGCTACCTCTGGAGGTTCTGCAGGAGTAGCAACAGGAGCTTCAACAGACAGGGAGAGTTCAATAATAGTGTTTGTGGTAGAAACAGAGGTGACAGGGAACACCATGAGCTCTGGAAAGAGTGCTGCTGTTGTCAGAGGAGGTTCTGCAATGGAAGTTGTTTTCTCGGGGGGAACAGGAGTGGACTCTGGGGCAGATTCAAGGACTGGAGTGAACTCTGGGGCAAATTCAAGGACTGGAGTGAACTCTGGGACAGATTCGAGGACTGGAGTGAACTCTGGGACAGATTCGAGGACTGGAGTGAACTCTGGGACAGATTCGAGGACTGGAGTGAACTCTGGGAGTGAACTCTGGGAGTGAACTCTGGGAGTGAACTCTGGGAGTGAACTCTGGGAGTGAACTCTGGGAGTGAACTCTGGGAGTGAACTCTGGGAGTGAACTCTGGGACAGATTCAAGGACTGGAGTGAACTCTGGGAGTGAACTCTGGGACAGATTCAAGGACTGGAGTGAACTCTGGGAGTGAACTCTGGGACAGATTCAAAGACTGGAGTGAACTCTGGGACAGATTCAAGGACTGGAGTGAACTCTGGGGCAGATTCAAGGACTGGAGTGAACTCTGGGGCAGATTCGGGGACTGGAGTGAACTCTGGATCAGATTCAAGGACTGGAGTGAACTCTGGGACAGATTCGGGGACTGGAGTGAACTCTGGGGCAGATTCAAGGACTGGAGTGAACTCTGGGGGTGAACTCTGGGACAGATTGAACGACTGGAGTGAACTCTGGTACAGATTCAAAGACTGGAGTGAACTCTGGGAGCAGAGTTTGGGGCTAGAGTGGACTCGGGAATAGATTCGGGGACTAAAGTCATCTTTATACTGTGTTCAGGAGCTGAAGCCATCACTAATCTAAGGTCAGGGACTGGAGCGACCACTGAGCTTTGTTCCGAGGCTGAAGCAGACAGAAGACTGAGATCAGGAGTGGAAACAGACATTGGGCTGGGATCATCTCTGAGCTAGACTTGTGATCAGATTCGGGGAGTAGAGTGGGCGCCACCACCTCGGGAGGTTCTGCAGCCAAGACTGCCATCTCTGGGGAAACTACGGTGGTGTGTGCAGCCCAAGCACAGAGAATAGCGGTAGCCATGACTGGCAGGACAGAGAGTACATTGTCTATTTCTGAGACTTACGGCGCTGTGCCTGGTGAACTGGAGTGAGTAGCGGCCGGCAGGCTTGAGAGAGATGAAACTGTGGCTAGTGAGCGTAGAGTCTGCGGTGCTCGGGAACATAGCGACCCTTGGAACGCCAGCAGCTCACACGACACCAACTGAGGGTCCTCCACACTGGATGCCAGCCTCGAACACCTTGAGACTGACTTTGTGTCTTCAAATGCAACATTCACGATGCTCTGGAACACTGGAGTGGCATCCGTGATGGCTGAAGTCTGTGACCTGACAAAGGCCGGAAGGCCGGAGGCTCTGGTGTGGCAGGCTCTGGAAGATCAGCTGAGACGGGACGAGACTCTGGAACGGAAGCCATTTCGTGGGTAGTCTCTGGGCTGGCAGCCATCTTGTGATAAGTCTCTGGGATGGCAGCCATCTTGTGATAAGTCTCTGGGATGGCAGCCATTTTGCACAAAGTATTGTTGAAAAGTAAAAAGCACTGTTGGATTCTCCTGCGTGACATGCTTGATCCTCCACCGTTACAATACACATGCACAAATACACACAAACAAACACACAGGTATATACACACAATTGTCCTGTGTGTATGCAGAGCACTGTGTGTGTGTGTGTGTGTGTGTGTGTTTGTGTGTGTGTGTGTGTGTTTGTGTGTGTGAATGTATTAATTTTATAAACTTTTCAAAGCACAAATCAACACTCAACTTTCACAAAATCTACTTTATTTTTCATGTTTATTTTCTCAGTGCAGCAGTAGCATCATTAAAACCTTGATTTGGTTCATACAGCTGTTGATTTAAATAATTTGGTAACACTTTACAATACGGTGGCACTAATATGCAATAATTCATGCTTAACTAATGCACAGATAATCATGAGTTAATGTATAACTCATGAAGAACTAAACCATTTATTAATAATTACTGCATCAGCAACAAATGAACATTCTATATGATACATAAATTAAGTAATCAATAAATTGTTATTAGTCAAATGTGTCAATGTATTAATTCCCTAATAACATATATTAACTAATAGTGTAAATTCATCTGTTAATTACCACAATGGGTCGAAGTCATGCATGTCAACTTCCAAATTATTAGCTAATGATTAATTAAAGCAGACAACTGGAAGTTGACATGCATGACTTCGACCCATTGTGGTAATTAACACATGAATTTACACTATTAGTTAATATAATATGTTATTAGGGAACTAATACATTATGACAAATGTAACTAATAACAATTTATTTATTACTTAATCTATGAATCATATAGAATGTTCATTAGTTGCTGATGTAGTAATCATGAATAAATGGTTTACACTGAAAAAAAAATATTCATTGAATGTATTCATTTTTTTAAGGTAAGTGGTTGCAATTAATTTATTTTAGCTACATTTAAATAAAAAATTTAGTTGACTAACTTTCAACATATTTTTTTATTTAAATGTATCTAAAATAAATTGTTTAATAATAAAAAAATTATTGCTAAAATAATTGTTTAGCTAAAATAAATTGCAACCACTTAAAAAAAATTAGTATAATTTTTTTCAGTGTAGTTCTTCATGAGTTATACATTAACACGTGATTATCTGTGCATTAGTTAAGCATGAATGAATGCATATTTGTGCACCTGTATTGTAACGTGCTACCAATAATTTTCTAAGTCTAAAATGAATCATTCTTGTCAAATGAGACACTTGTACATCAGAACATGAAAATTTCTCTTGAACTGTGTTAAAAACACGATTCTGAACACAAAAGAGTGAAATGGCACAATCTTCTCAGCAGAAAGCACAGATGCTGTTTCCATCATGAGTTTCCGATGTTTCGTGAGCTGAACTTTCCACACACACACACACACACACACACACACACACACGCGCGCGCACACACACACAGACAGAGTTACCGTATAAAACAAAACACTGATCCGTGAGTCAGTCTCACAAAACTCACATCAGCATCACTAATATATGAACCTGTACAGTGGAACAAACGTTTAAGATACACTATGAATCACCAGAGTCTGATTTACAGTAATCCGGACGTCTGAACAGCATCTATTTATTGAGGCCTGCGTACAAAGCATTGCTGCTGCGCATCTTTGGATCCAGAGCCTGAGAAAACAACACAAACACCAGAAAGTTTACAGTTAATCACCGAGAAAATCAGTGACATCAGTTTAATTAATCAACAAGACACTTGAGCTTCAGTGTGGAATAGAGAATCAACAGCAGCTCAAAACATGATTCACTGCTCTGATCGTTCACTAGTACATCTAGTGGTGTAAACTAGGTTAGTAGTTGGTTTCTGTGAGAGCAGTGCAGTGAACAGCTGTTACTATAGCAACACTGGATTACTGACCAATCACAGCGCACCTTAACTTAGATCTCATTCTGTGCTGATTAACAACGGAAGACTGATTAATAAAACATTCAGTGTAACATGAGAAGTTCTGCTTTGATTTGTTTTGTCACACGTACCGCGTAGTCAGGGTTTGGAGGTCGAGGAGGGTTTATTGGTCGGGGATTTGATGCTGTGAATTAAAACAAAATAAACCATGATAATGTTTAATGTTTAATTGTATTTTACACTCACTAGAACACAATTCATGCAGCATTTACATCAAAACAATGTAAAGTATAAATGCTTCACGCTTCTTGTGCAACATTTCCCCCCTTTTGTATAAATGATACTGAAATGAACACTGTATAGATGTTGATTTGTAATATATATTCACTGTGGTATTATATTATGGTAATATGTATAGACTTGTAATATATGTCCGTATGGTATTACTGTGGAAATATATCAGCGTTGTTCAGTTCTGTATTATATAGGTGTTGAACTTAAGCTGATCAGTGTTGTGTAAGTGGCCTGTAGGTTGACTGATTTCTGCAGGTTTGTGTCTGAGATCATGTCATATATTTTCTGTACCTTTCTTCTGTGTGCCGTTGCTCTTTCTGGCAGCACAGATGTAGATGATAAGCATAAGTCCTCCTGTGATCAGTACATCTCCGAGCATGATGCCCCACGCAGCCAAACCGCTCAACTCATAGCAGTTCTCACACACTGACACACAGAACGAGTGTGAGCATTATTAGTATTGGTATTATTATGATGCACATTCTGAGTGAAAAACAGTGAAGTATCCTCACCTTTTATTTTGAGGTAGAACTTGTGCTTTATGACTTCGTTTGTACCTGTATCTGTATTTATCTTTGAATATTCACAGGTGAAGAATCCTCCAACTGTTCCCTGTTCAGCTTTAGCTTCAAAGGTCGAATTCTTTTGGGTTTTATCTTCGTTGTTGTCCTTCCACCACTTTACTTGACCATCTTCACCTCCCTCGCAGTCCAAAATGACACGGTCTTCTTTGATCTCTCTTATGGCTTTGACAAAAACAAAATGAAAAGACCAAACAACATGTAAGAATCGCTACACATCAAGCTCTATCATCAGCTCAGATAATGAATGCACGTGGTGTGAAGTGATCTCACCTTGACCCTGAGCTGGATTCATCACAGCCGCGGCGAGCAGCACAAACATCACGCTCAGGAGAAGCATGGTTCCTGAAGGTTTAACGTCCTGAAGTGAGTGTTAACTGAACTCACACGCAGCGTCTCTGTGTCTCTGAGTCTCTCTGCAGGAAGAGGAAACCTCAAACACCTTTCAATTGCCCTCTTTCTCTCGTTCTGCTGGGGTTTATCTGCAGATCTGCTCCATTTCTCTGAGAAGCACTTCAGGCTCCTCTATAACTTCATAAACTCATATATCTGAAATATACTATATATGGAAAAGATCAGTTGCCTTTTGCATCATTGACACCATTAAATCATTTTCTCATGATTGTTTACGATATGTGAGCCTGGAGCACACAAGCAGTGTTAAGTCGCTGGGGTATATTTGTAGCAATAGCCAACAATACATTGTATGGGTCAAAGTTATACATTTCTTTTTTATGCCAAAAATCATTAGGATATTAAGTAAAGATCATGTTCCATGAAGATATTTTGTAAATTTCCTACCGTAAATATATCAAAACTT